TGCTTCACTCTATATATACGTTAAAGAAATGAAAATCGATACCGCTGAATTTTGGAAAGGGTTTTTTGCATATTTTAGTAGTGCTCGGGCACCAAATTAAGAATCCGCAATAATTACAATTTTAAATGTATATGAACGAACGCGTCACTGAAAATTTATAATCAGATCATTTTCAGATGTGCAGTATTGCGTCACTGTGGAATCTTCCAAAGAAGTGTTTTGTACTTATAACAAAAAACGAAGAAGAAAAAAAGCCACAGCGCACAATCCAGATTTTCGAACAAAGATGAGATGAAATCGAAGAGGAAAACAAAACATTGCGTTAAAGCCAATAAATTTAAATATTTTCCAATGAGTATGGTCTTTATTTGTTTTCGCTTTTATTTCGAATTCGTCGTTGTACATCGCGTTGTTCTCATTTATTTTATGTATTCTACGCTTACGGCTCCATATGACTGGCCATTGAAATTCATTCATGCAAGCCAATAGAATGCAGTCCAGCTCTCTTTGCGATCGATAATATCAAATTAGAATTTCCATGGAAATCCGTGCAAACAATCATAAATGTTGCCTTTGATTTGACTCGCGGTCAAGATTGTGCCTTGATGTTATCAAATGTATATATCGGTGCTAAAAAGATATCGATTTTTTTCCGTCTCTGCACACATTTCCACATAATTCAAATGAAGCGAATTCCATCGTTTTTATTTTCAAAAAAAAGTGAAGCACTTGGCAAAATTGAAAATCCAAGTAAGTGTGCATGAAATCAAAAGTGAATTGCAGCATTGTGTTGCCTTTTTCTTCAAATCCACACCAAAAACCAATCAATAAAATCACAAAAGTGACAAAATAAATGTCAACACTATTGTTTATGGTCTGTGTGAAAGGAGCGCAAAGGGAGAATGTAATGTAACACTGGCACCGATTAGGATGTAATATGTCAGTAATTTATGATACAATTTCCCGCTCTTTTTGCTCTTCATTTTTGGAAAATTAAAAAGACAAACACAATATTATCGCCAGGATCAAACTCTAATAAATTGTATCTTGAGCGATAGAGAACACCGCTGGTCGAATTCACAATATTGTTGTGGCCTTTTGTTCGTTAAGTCTTCTATTCGGAAACAGAATAGAAAAAACACACAAAGTGTCATGGTATTTTGTTGCATTTCTTTTGGCATTTCGATTTTTTGATATATTTGGATTAAGGAATTTTTTTTAAATCGAATGAAATCAAAGTGCAATCAATATATTAGCTTTATGAAGCTCGTGTGAGAATATTCTCTCTTTGAGAGATTGAGAAAGTGCTCATCTCTTCTGAGAATGGAACGATTTTTTTTTTGTAGGCGGCATTTCAATGATGATTGCTCGTTCGATTGAAAAATGGTTCTCTTTCATCGTGTTCATTTATTTTCAATTTCAGTTGGCAAATAAGGTTGGTCTTTTGTGTGATTTCTCATGCGGCCTCGGCCGTTACATCATTTTCATGTTTGTCATTAGCGGCGCCGAAGCATTGAGGTTCGATTTTCTTCATTGTTCAAAAACGGTAAATATATTTTTCGAAGTGTTTTTCGTACTTTGTATATAAATATCTGTAGAAGAAACACAATGAAAGCTTCCTGGAAAGGTTTCAATGCACATTCCATTCGATCGTCCAAAAGAGTCATGTAGTCACATTCATGGCAATGGTATCAATGGAAGGGAAACGTTCTTTTTTTTTCTTTTTCTTAAAAGGGAGAAAAAGTTGAATGTGATCGATTCATAGAAAAAAAAACCTGTCGGCTTTTACTTGATATTTTCACTTCGACACCCATGTTCTGTCGATTGTATCAGATTGATCTTGTGCCTTCTGGATCAACATGACTTTTTCCAATTCCTTAATTAAACCATAAATTTGGCGCGAACCATGAGCGATTTTCATCTTTTCATACGACGATCAATCGTAATGATTATGAATTCTTTGCTTTGGCATCTCTCACGTTCGCTCTCGTTACGATCTAATGGCAGACACCGCCTTTTCAACGACCATCATTTTCCACGGCACCGAATTTATTCCGTTCGGATATTTATTTCCAACCGAACTCAACAAGAGCAAATAATACGTTAAAAAGAACAATAGAGAGAGAGAAATGAATCGATTGAAGCGCCTTGAAGCTCAAAAGTCACTGGGCACAAAACGAAAACGTTTCAGCCAGTGTGTGCAAACGTGTGAAAGAGGAGTCGAAGCCGAAAATGCAAAAAGAACAGCATCCAAAAAAAAATTGAAAATGATCGAATTTCCAAGAAGGCATTCCTGCCAACATATCCAATACCAAAATAAGTAACCGAGAAAATCAAGACTAAGCATTTTTATACGAAACAAACCAAAGAATAACACAACGTCCAAAATGCTTTTCAAAAGCAAAATCGCCGAAAATACAATATATATGTATCGAGAATAATCGGTTTCAATGGCTCTTTTTATGCACAAATTTAATGGGAATGTGCACTGTGTACACTGACTGAATAAATGTGCATTATGCGGCAACTGTCGACCCGACACATTCACATTCTCATTCTCTTTGCTTCTTTGTCTCTCTCTCTCTCCCTCTCTTTTCCTCTTCACTCCTTATAATTATTTTTATTATTATTTTTTGTTTTGGCTGTTGTTGCTTCGTTTGCTCTCGAATTTAGTTTAAATTTCAAATTACCTGTTGCTTCTTCTTTTTGTTGTTGCTATTGAAAGAGTGTGTTGTATCTTTTTGCATCATCAATACAATTGTATTGTGCAAACACATTACATGGTGTATCTTTTTTGTGATTGAAGGGCAAAAATTGCTCTCTCAACAGAAATTCTCACTAGTTATCGTCTAAATGGTTTCGTTCTTTGAAATTGATGGTTTCTATACAGTTCTGATGTTCATATTTCCTAATTTTTATTAATGAATTGAACTTTTGAGCTTTGTGCAATGGTTAAGTGTAACATTCTTGGATTTTTTGGATTTTTCTAGGGATTTTCCTTCATGTCATTGTATTGAAGATTGTTTGTGCCATTATTTTTTTTTTGCTGGAACACAGCATCGGCTTTTCATCAAACTATCAGAGATTGATTGCAGTTTCATTTTCTTGGTTGTTTCGCACCATCACGTTAAATGCTCTTAAAACCCACAATTTAGCAATTCTCTTGGAAATCTCCTGTGGCAAATTCTGACAAATCGACCAGAAAATGTGGTTAAACCCATCACTGCCATGATGAATTATCAAATCTAGCCATTATTTTTGATGTGGATCTTTTTGGGTAAATTATCACACATATAATTTATGTAAATAGTTCAAATAATTGAAATTCTCCATTTCGTTCGAAATTTCTTTGCCAAAAATCGAAATGATAAAAATGTGTGTATGTGTTGTAATCAAATGGTGATATTTACATATTGAGTTGGAGGGTACCACGTATTAGTTCACACACGGTAATCGTTTGTCGTGAGACAACAATGATATGCTATCAATATTTCATCCATACCAGTATATTTACTCCGCCCGAGTATGTAAATAATGATACCCGTGTGTGCTGGAGCATATGTATTTGTGCGGTGAGAGTGTACACTGTCGAAAATTGCCGAAAGTTGAAATTAATGAAACGCAACCAATATGTGATTACGCACTTCTAAACCACACGGTCGACGTTATGCACACACACATAATGAAAGAGACGAAAAAGATCGTGTGTGACAGTGAGTAATCTGCAAATAACTCGATCTCAATATTAATTTTCAAAGACGGTTTTTGGTCAGAATTTGATTGGTTTTTATCTGCGATTTTCTTCATTTTCGACCAATTAGATCGACGATTTAAAAGCGATCGTAATTTGTAAAAAAAATGGAAACAAAAAAAACAACAACTACATATAATCAAGTACGGCTTTGTGAATATTGAATAAAACATAAATGTCAAAACTATATTGTTCGTTATCGGTCGCTGATTAGATTAGCGTTGATTTTTCCGCTTCGATGCGTGATTTACCCGTTGACAGCTTCATCATCGATGTCAAAATAACATTGACGGTGCTTGAATTTCAAACTTTGAGCTCCGCATAAACGGGCTAATTTTAAATAATAAAATAAATCTTTCTCCCTCTCTCCGCTTCGAACCACATGTTGCTGGTGCCGAAAAAATTGCGAATACAATTACAAGTAAATGACGGGATCGGAAGTTGCATTTGAACAGACAACAAAATTGTGAAATCAAAAAAAAAGATATAAGAATAATAGAACTTTAAAAGGTTCGCCTTGTTAACCGTCGTCGTAGTCATCGTCGATGTTATAGTTGTTGTTGCACACGACAAACGAGTTCCAACGAAATATCGTCAAAGAATTCGCAAACGAAAAGTGAAACTGTGTTTGTGCGAAAGGAGAGTGCGAGAGAGAGAGAGCGAGCAAGAGCGAATGAATAAATAGAATAGCGCTGACAGCACTTTAAATCGAAATATGTGTTATCTGTACAAACTGGCATACATTTATAACCGCGTATCATAACCGCGTTCACCTCCTATCAACCATACGACGGCTCCGGCTGATCATCATCACTACGTACAAGGCAACCGACTCACAATCATTCGTGTGTACAATTTTTTTTTACTTCTTCAACCGTCGTCCGTCTCGTCTCATTTCTCTTACGTGTGTGCACGGCATTCAGTCTGCCTGGGAGAATAAGTGCACGGTCGCAATTCGCATGTATTGGTTAGTGGTGTAGCGTTTTCTACAGTTTACAAAAACAGCTGTTTTATTGAGATCCGAAGAAGGAGACAAAGTAGAAACGCAACTGAACATAAAACTGTTGCGCACACATATTCGCCAATCCAGAGCCTTGTACGACTCTGTGTATATGCAGTAAACGCTATGCGCATACCTATCCTCCTGGCTGTGTAAGTATGCAACGCAACAGATATAACAAATAAAACATTGCTCCGGTTGATGTGATCGCTAACGCCGGCAACCGATTCAGTTTGGAAATGACTTCTGAAAGGAAAAGAATTGATTCTACAGAGCTACACAATTTGTTGCCATTGATTTTCGTTTAACGTTCATTTTTTTCGTTTTCAAGTCACATCGATCGATCGTAAAGAAAAAGTTCTTCATTATTTTTTTGTTTTATTTTATTTTTTTTGCACATTATTTTTTTCTTCTCGACCAAACTGAAAGTAATTTTCTTTTGCCTTGTTATTTTCTTGTTTTGAAGTTTTGACAAATTTTTTTCTAATATTTTTTTTTATTAAAAAATTACTCAAAATTGTAAGTGGTAATCATGGTGAAGTGTATATGTGTATTTTGACAGTAATTGATAGTAAAAAAAAAATAATTCTAAAAATAAGAAAAAAAGAAAAACCAAAATTTTATTTGACCATTAGAACTTGTGAGTTGACATTTGTTGAAAGGCGATTGACCGCACACGCTCTGTCCGTTTTGTTGTTTTTAGTCCTCGTTCGTTTTCGTACGTTAATTTACCGTATTTCTACCGAAATATAGATTGTACACAGTTTCATTCGTAAGTTTGCTCTCGTTGTGCTCTCTCATGTTTGCCATCCAATCGCAACGCAGATACACAAACGGCACACAGTGATGTTTGCAGCAAAAAAAAAAAAACGGTCATCGCATTTTTCAACGAATTAAGAATTTCAGGAAATTTATATTCGACGCAGAAAGAAGAGAAAAATAAAAACGGAACACCAAATCAGTTGAATTGTGCATTTTGTGAAAAAGATAAATCTAAACAAATAATCGATTTAATCCGGAAAAAGTTTGAAATCAATACGAAATTGATTTATTATCATTTCTCATCGCTTTTGAGAATTAATTCGAAAAATTGTGTCAGTTTTGCAGTAGCTCCAGTTCAAACAATTGCATTTCTTTAGATGGGGTCAAATACAATGCAAGAGAAAAGGAAAAGTAATATTTCATGTGTTTTTCACCAAATGTTTCTTTTTCCATTGATATAAAATGAAAGATTTGTCAGAGTGAAATCTATCTCTCTTTCTGTTTTGTGCAAAAGAATGAAACGGTCCGAAAATTGGTTGTCAGTGTCCGAATGAACGAACAATATCGCATGCGGTGTACAAATGTTTTTTTTTCTATCTCATTCTAACTGTCGCATCACAACTGTATCGAACTGCGACACATATTTTTTTTTTGATAAACGATATTGTTTGATGATGAAAATCACTGAACATTCGATCACATTTATCTAATTTATAAACTGTAACAATAGCGGACCGTAAAATTTATTATTGAATTCGGGCCAATCTGCAAAGATGAAGCCAAGAAAGCAAAACAAATACACATACAAAATCTGTACCGACAATAAGAAAAAAATCGCAGTAATAATACACGAAAAAGAGAAAGAAGAAACGAAGCACAGCATAAGCGAAGAGAAGAAGAAAAAAAATTGTCGCTTCCTTACCCCGAATGTGTAAAATAAATAATATTCTTATTGTTCGCATTTCGAATGTATATAACAATTGAGTGAATCGCATGAAAAAAAAACTCATACTCATTTTTCTACCTAAGAAGATCCTCTTCTCTATCGCACTCTTGTGCACGTTTGCACAACATTTACAACGTGCTAAGAGTGAGAGAGGTACCGAGAGCACATGCACTGCAAAATAATAACACAAACAATAATAAATAGTCAACTTAAACTTACCTTTTTTCGCATTTTACCTACTTCGGCCCAAAACATGATTCGTATCGCACAACAACAACAACAACAAAATGCACATAAGCACGCAACACACCACCTAGAAGGTAGAATGGCAACGACACACACACTGCAAAGGAATTATTATAATTCAAGAAAGAGGGTTCTTTTTCGTCCCGTCAACGACGACGTCGTCGTCCTCATCTTACCTAACAAAGAAAATTGAATTGCAGCTGTCGTTGTCGTCGTGGTTGCGTTACATACTCACTTCATCATAAAAAAAATAATATTACATAGGTACAGACACATATATGCGCGATTTGGCCGTTCATGAAGAAGCCTGAACCGAATCCAAATGAAAATCGATTGCAGTGTGTAGTTAAATCATTAACCGACTAATTTTTTTTTCCTTTTCTTTCTGCATCGCAAATAAATGTCAGCCAACAGCACAGCAGCAGTAGCATGTTGTTGCTGTCATCCAAATGATTCCAATGCACACATAATACAATAATTTCTCTTTCATTCAACAGAGTACCGTAATTGAGCCCATGACCGCTATAGTTCACAGAGTGTTTTCATTTTCAACCAACGAATATACCAAACGATAAAAATTACCATACATTCGAAAAAAAAAAAACAATTTCACAAGAACAAAACTATAAACGAACAGTGAACTGAAATAGAGAGAGTGTTTGAAAATATCAACCCATTGAAGAACCACCGCATGGTCTTGTTTGCATTATTTTCTCTCTCTCATATATATATATATTTATAAACTAGTGATTCAGCGTAATTTAAAACGTATCGTCGCACTTTGTTCCAAAAATTTCGTTCATCATCATTAAGAATTGCTGTTTGTGAGGAACTTTTCCACACCCAATAGGCGATATTAGTGGTTTTTCACTTGAAAACAACAGAAGAAAATACAGTTACGGGGCGAATTAAACGCAGTTACTAACCGCAGTATTATAAAACTATATAAAAACCCAAACACACACACGCACATATTAAAAAAAAGAGAGACATTCATAAGCCAGAAAAGACAAGAGAAAATTTGTCGTGCGCGTGGTGAATAAATTTTTTTTTACATTGTCGACCGTTTCGATTACGATCGAATGTGAGCGGACATCGTTTTCGAGCTGCCCACAATCGACGAACGTGCTGCATAAAATTAAAGGATCACCCTACAATCATCGCAACCATCCACATTTCATGCTCTGATGATTGTTTGCGTTTTTTTACATAATTTAACATAATTTCACTCGGCTCGTTATTTTATGAACATTAACTCTGTCTCATAGAGAAAACGCATTTGCAAAAAAAAAAAAAATAACAAAAATTGCCCATCAGTTTTTTCAACGCAAACGGTATACAAAAGTCTATCACAATGGATCTGATGTGCAACGAAAAGGAAATGTTCAAAGATCAACATCAAATCGACAATCAAATGCAACACATCATGCATATTGAACCACAAGTCAACACAGCATCGGCAGATCCAACCTTCTTGTCGGAACGATGCCTGGAAAATTTGCTCAAATCAGAAGAAACGCATCCAGTGCTGAATTTCTACAACAATCCACAATGCGAAATAAAACCGGAAATGAGACGCATCGTCGCTGAATGGATGATGGAGGTAAGTTTTTCAATTATTTTGATCATCTTTCATCATTTACAATTAAGTAACTCTTTTTTTTATTTAAAAAAAAATCATATATTATGCAATCGATTCGAGTTTTGCGATACTTCAAATATTTCGCTCGATATTCGTCTTTATCTCTCTTTAGCTGTTTTTTCTCTTTTCAATACGCGAATTTAAAATGTAAAGCAAACACACATTTTCTTTTATATCTTTTCGCTTATTGCACGATATTTGTATTAGATTCAATTAAATACAAACGCGCACTTTTGTGTACGGAATTATACAGTTCGTCTATTTAACTAGCCTTTCCAGCTGTTTTCTTGTCGCACAAATTCGTATTTCGGTATATTTACAAATAAAAAAAAAACGCCTTTGATCACAGTGTGCATATGCGTATCTATGTGGGTCACTAAAGGAAGCCCACTATGAATTACCTATCATTTCACTTTCGCGAGCATATACAAATCGAGCAATTTCCCTTTTTTTAAATTTAGAATTTTTTTCCTTGTTTCTTCTCTTGATCTATTGTCATTTTTATTACTGTAGTTCGTATTTTTTGTCTCTTAATTGGCATTTTATCTACTCGCCACTTTCTTAAATCGTACCTTTTTGCGTAGATTTTGTGGGCGGCACATTTTCTGCAACTTTTTGTTGGATTTAACTTCGATCATCACATAATTCTTATTTCCTTGACGACGTTTTTTCGGTTTTTTTTTTGCTCAAATATTTTGTTAAACGTGCCAGTCGTTATCGTTAATTATCAATGTGGTAAGTAACATACTGGCCAGTCAAGTCCGCTCGAATAGATCCACTTGTTAATTTAAAGTTTTTGCTTTAAATGTGATGCTCATCAAGAATTTCGTCGGAAATGAGTAACAAACGTCTGTGATAAGCCTCAAGTTGGATTCAAATTTATCGGATGTATTTTTTCAACGAAGTTTTTTTTATATAAATATATATATTTTTTGGATGTAATAACACGCGTTGATTTAAAAATAGAATGTTTATTGAAAGAGGCTGCAAGGTCTTGTGATATTCATCGCCAGCTACATTCAAATGAAAATAGAGTCAGACAAGCACAAACAATCGATTGAGCATATGACTAACGCAATTGATCTCTATTATTTTCCAAACACAAAACAAATGAATGGACATGCGTAGCAGCGAAAAAAGTGCGTTATCCTTCTTTAATCAAACAACATGTTTATGTTCGATAATAATTTTTTCAACAAAAGCACGCCATATATATTTTCCTGTGTGCAAATTAAGCATTTTTCATTTGGAAATAAGTTTTTGCATGATGCGCCACCAACAACAAAAACATAAAAAAAAAATCCTTTGATTTTTCTCGCCTTTCATCGTTCTTTCTCGCCATCGTGCCAATACGTCAGTTTGCTGCTGAAATATTTTATTAACAGTTTCGGACTGTGTGCTCTGTGTCGGTGTGTGTGCGTTCATATTTCAAACTGATGATGTCGGTTCAATTATTAGTTGGCTTCATTTCACCGGTTCTTGCTCGCACTTCATTCGAATGAGACACTCTCATTCATTTGCTGCTTTGCCGATATTATATACTTTCCGAAGAAACACAAATTATTTACTTGTGAATGTTGCGCACGCAAAAAAAAGAATCTTGAGTAAATATTTACTTTGCTAAAAAAGGTATTTAAATTCTCGTTGCCTTTTTCGTGTACGGACAGTCAGAGTCTGTTAGTTCAGTTGTGCAGAGTTGTTCGTGTCTATCTCGGTTTGGATTTAAATGCGGTACAAATTGTGCACGTACACTCGATATCGATTTACCTTCGGGTTTTTTTTTCGCTCTCTCGCTGTATTGTCTCGGGCATGAGATGCGTTCACGAATGCGCAACAACAATAGGACCGTATAATTTTGGCAAACACAAAAAGTAGCGACAACAATTTTGACCAAATATAACTTAGAAAAGTGCGCAGTGCGCATGAAGATGATTGTTTTTCATACGAATTGAAACATGTATATTTTAATGCATAATTGATCAAATAAGCCGGCGAAACATACCTAAATGTGTACCATGTACAAACGATGTGTACGGGATGTAGCCACTCAAAAATGTGCGGCACCTTCCGAAACTGAGATCATTGTGCGTACGTTTTTGCACACAGCATTTTCTGTCTCTCTCTCTCTCGTTCTCGCCAACGGTTCGCGTGTTCGATTCTCTAACGAATTCACCATGAGCTTCAATTTTTAAAGTTTACGCATACATGCAGCGCAAGTTCTTAATTTCTCATTGTGTGTGTTCGAATCGCATAGCCGTTGTTATACTTTAATTTTTTTTCGGCTAATTTTTATGATGCGAACCATCAGTATCACTTAGGGAATGCAATCTCTCTTTTCGTTTTGCTGCCTCTTCACGTTCGTTGAATTGCATCTCCATTATCATCATGTATGAATAACATAACCGAAAAAAGAGAAACTGTATTCTAACCACAAGAATATTTGCATTTCTTCAACAACCATATGTGTAGCAACACACACCGCAATTCAATCATTATCACTAAATTGATTTTTATAAACTCTCGGCCTCTTGTGCATTCTTTTCTCTGATTTTCCATCTCTCTCTCTCATCATCTTCTCGATGCAATTGCGTCTTTTTGTTTCGATGTTGTGCAAAAGAGAAAAGTTGAGCACGTCTTTGCGGGTCGTTAGACAGTGCGAATATTTCAACAAGTATTTCTCATCAATTTTTCATTAAAAGATCACTTGACGACAATAAATGTACACGACATGGGCTCTGTGTGATTTTTTTTTTCTCGTCGTGCTGACCGCTGGTTGTGCACAGTTAACAAAGTCGGTGAGACCGATTACCGAAAATTTCTTGAATGGAATGTGGTATCCAAAAAAGTTACTGCTGATGACATTGAAATAATCGGCACATGCTTTCGCTGTTTAAATCGCACGCATTGTGAAAGACACCGAGAAGAGTTTTAAAATAAATCTTGGACTGTATTCAATTCACATTTCGAATGAAAATAAAATTGAATTTGGAAATATTTAACTCGCACGCACACATTCAAACGGGCAACAATTTTGCCGAATGTTATCATCGCTTATCTTTGGTCTCGAATATCTAAAAAACAGATGAGAGAGAGAGAGAAAGAGAGTAACCATTGGCTAAATTCATTGGCCAAAAATGGTGGATGAACGAAGAAAGAACAAAAAACCCATTGGATTCCAATATTTTTCGGCAAACGCTTAGAAAAGAGAATTTGATGGTTTGGCCTGTGGTATCGCGAAATTGCAATCTTAAACATTCTTGTTTCATCTTCTCTCGTTTATCGACGAAAGAAAAAAAAATGGTTTGCCGTCATAAAAATGCGTCGCAGGAACTGATTACACGCACATACACATACACACACCTCGAGAAGAAACGAACCAACAAATTCAAGAATGGTTCAGCTTTTACCAGTTGCTAAAATCAGAGTCAAACTTTACATCACCGCAACCACCATCAAGTCTCAAGCAAAAAGAAGCAAACACGATAATCTACACACAAATTATCGTGTTTAGCTAAAAATGTTGCTATTTTATTTATTTGTTTTATATTTTACTATCTTTCTTCAAGGCGAACAGTCAATGACCAATAACGTCTGCTTGCCATTCCATCATATTCAATATTATTGCTTATATTTGGTATTGTTGTTGGTAGTCGCTCATGCTCTCAGCTTCAACCGAAAAACACATAAGCTCAACGCTGCTGCGTATATGTATAAATATTCGAATCGAGTTATTCAATGTATACGGTGTGTGTGTGTACGTGCGCGTGAACAAGCAACGCTTTTTAAAAAACATATGACAACGGTGACAGAGTATTAAAAATAATACTGCCGATTGTAAATTGATGAGAAATGAATAAAGATAGAGAGCTCTAAAAAAAACTTGCTGCTTGACTAGATATGACACGAAGTTTCCATTTATTTCGTTTTTATTTCACCACTGCGCATGTATATGTGTCGATATATGATCGCTTTTAATTAATTTTCAACCGAAAATTTGCTGCTAACCGACGATTTCATTTCTTTGGACTGTGTGCCACCAAAAGTGGCATGGTTTTTGTATTGTAAAAAGGAAGTAACCAAAATGGATGTACCGCAGAAGAAAAGTGCTTTACTTCTGATCAATTGCATAATGCCCTTTTATACGAGAGACGCACCAAAAAAAAAAACCGCAGTCGAATGTATGCCATTCACTACCATTGAGTGTATTTTGTGGTTATATCCTGGCTGGAACAAAATTTTTTATACCTGCACTCAACACGCATCCCAACGGAAAGATTTGACTGTCTTTTTTTTCCGTCGCATTTGTATTACAAACAGACAATGTTACAATCAAACATAGATCTTCGCTAATTATATTTAAATTGTTCATCAATGGAATAAATTATCATGAAAGTCACGTAATCGAATGGGTTAGTGACAGTCAATCCATGTGATTTGCATACGTACTCTCTCACGCTCGCTCGCACCCATACATACACACACTTTAAACGTAACTCTGTGTCGTTGTCACCGTCGTCGTCATCGTCGACGAGATGTTAGAATACATGCACGCACTCACAGATTGTCTGCGAACAGACGAATTTTCGCGATATTTTTTTTTGTTTCTGCAGCATATAATATCATTTTTATTTCACAAACGTGTCGCCGCCGTATCAATATGTATTTGACCCATTTGTGTGAGTGCCGATTGAATTAGAAGAAAAAAAGCAACAATTTAAACTAAATTCGTCTATCTTTCAATCAAATTCATCGTCCTCGTGCCTCTTCACATGGATGCCACAAAATTAGAAGAGCTTTCGACAAATTGTGATGCGCGATAAACCAAATATATCAACAAAATAAAATGGTTTTGCGATAATGCGATAACTGTCCCCCAGTGTATATTGGAACGTACACACAATTAAAGCATAACTAAAAAAGTTTATTGTCGCCAACATACTTGTGTCACAAATTCCATTATC